TAGAAGACCCCATCGTCTCAGCCCAAAATCTCCTGAAACTGATAAGCAACTTCAGCCAAGTCTCAGGATACAAAATCAATGTGCAAAAATCACAAGCATTCCTATACACCAGTAACAGACTTAAAGAGAGCCAAATATAGAAAAACTGCCATTCACAATTGCTATAAAGAGAATAAAATACCTAGGAATACAACTAACCAGGAACATAAAGGACCTCTTCAAGAACTACAAACCACTGCTCAACGAAATAGAGAGGACACAAACAGATGGAGAAACATTCCATGTTCATGGTTGGTATGACTCAATATCGTGAAAATGGCCATACTGCCCAAAGTAATTTACAGATTCAACACTATCCCCATCAAGCAACCAATGACCTTCTTCACAGAACTGGAAAAAACTACCTTAAACTTCATATGGAACCAAAAGAGAGCCCACATAGCCAAGTCAATTCTAAGCAAAAAGAACAAAGCGGGAGGCATCACACTACCAGACTTCAAACTATACTACAAGGGTACAGTAATCAAAACAGCATGGTACTGATACCAAAACAAGATAAAGACCAATGGAACAGAACAGAGGCCTCGGAGGCAACACAACATATCTACAAGCATCCCATCTTTGACAAACCTGACAAAAACAAATAATGGGGAAAGGATTCCCTGTTTAATAAATGGTGTTGGGAAAACTGGCTAGCTATGTGCAGAAAGCAGAAACTGGACCCCTTCCTGACACCTTACACTAAAATTAACTCCAGATGGATTAAAGACTTAAACATAAAACCTAACACCATAAAAACCCTAGAAGAAAATCTAGGCAAAACCATTCAGGACATAGGCATAGGCAAGGACTTCATGACCAAAATACCAAAAGCATTGGCAACAAAAGCCAAAATAGACAAATGGGACCTAATCAAACTCCACAGCTTCTGCACAGCAAAAGAAACAGTCATTAGAGTGAATCAGCAACCAACAGAATGGGAAAATATTTTTGCAGTTTACCCATCTAACAAAGGGCTGATATCCAGAATTTACAAAGAACTAAAACAGATTTATAAGAAAAAAGCCCATTCAAAAGTGGGCAAAGGATATGAACAGACACTTTACAAAAGAAGACATACATGAGGCCAAAAAACATGAAAAAATGCTCATCATCACTGGTCATTAGAGAAATGCAAATCAAAACTACATTGAGATACTATCTCATGCCAGTTAGAATGGTGATCACTAAAAAATCTGGAGAGAAAAAAAAAAAAAAAAAAAAAATCTGGAGACAACAGATGCTGGAGAGGATGTGAAGAAACAGGAACACTTTTACACTGTTGGTGGGAGTGTAAATTAGTTCAACCATTGTGGAAGACAGTGTGGCGATTCCTCAAGGACCTAGAAATAGAAATTCCATTTGACCCAGCAATGCTGTTACTGGGTATATATCCAGAGAACTATAAGTCATTCTACTACAAGGACACATGCACACGAATGTTCACTGCAGCACAGTTTACAATAGCAAAGACCTGGAACCAACCCAAATGCCCATCGATGATAGACTGGACAGGGAAAATGTGGCACATATACACCATGGATTATGCAGCCATCAAAAACGAGTTTGTGTCCTTTGTAGGGACATCGATGAACTTGGAAACCATCATTCTCAGCAAACTGACACAAGAACAGAAAATCAAACACCGCATGGTCTCACTCATAATGAGGACACATGGACACAGGGAGGGGAGCACTACACACTGGAGTGTGTTGGGGGGAAATAGGGGAGGGACAGCAGGGGGTGGGGAGTTGGGGAGAGATAGCATGGGGAGAAATGCCAAATATAGGTGAAGGGGAGGAAGGCAGCAAATCACACTGCCACGTGTGTACCCATGCAACAATCTTGCATGTTCTTCACATGTACCCGAAAACTTAAAATGCAATTAAAAGAAAAAAAAAAAGGAGCCAAACAGGAATTTTAAAATTGAAAAATATATTATCTGAAATGAAAAATTTACTAGAAGGGGTTCATCAGAAGACTTGATCAGGAGGAAGACACAATCAGTGTGAACTTGAAGAAAGGTCAGTAAAGATTGCTTGATCTGTAACGCAGAAATTAAAAAGGGAAAAAAATGAACAGAGACTAGGAGACCCAGAAGACATCATCAAACATCTGAATACACATAACGGGAGTTGCTACTGGAGAGGAGGCAGAAAAAGGAGCAGAAGGAATATAGGAAAAATAGGTCAATAATGGTGGCTCACGCCTGTGTTATAGCAATTTGGAAAGCTGAGGTGGGAGAATCACCTGAGGTCATGAGTTTGAGACCAGCCTAGCCAACATAGTGAAACCCTGTCTCTACTGAAAATATAAAAATTAGCCAGATGTGGTGGTGTGCGTTTGTAATCCCAACTATTCAGGAGGCTGAGGCAGGGAGAACTGCTTGAACCCAGGAGGTGGAGGTTGTAGTGAGCTGAGATCATGCCAGTGCACTCTAGCCTGGGTGACAGAGCAAGTCTCTGGGAAAAAAAAAAAAGGAAAGAAAAAAGAATATATGGAAAAATAACAGCCAAACATTCCCAAATTTGATGAAAATTACAAGTCTATACACCCAAGCAGCTCAATGATCTCCAAATAGGATACGCTCAAAAAACTCATGCTGTGATACCTTAAAATTAAACTGTTAAAAACCAAAGACAAAGAGATTATCCTGAAAAATAGCAAGGGCAAAATAAGTCATCATGTACAAGATTAACAGCTGATTTCTCATCAAAAACCATGGAGGCCACAAGCCAGTGGCATGACATACTCCAAGTACTGAAAGATGAACCAAGAATTCTATCTCTTGCAAAGCTATCATTCAAGACAGTAAAAAGGCAATCCATTGAATGGGAGGAGGTATTTGAAAATGATAAATAATATTTGATAAGGTTCCAGTGTTGAGAACATATAAAGAACTCTTACAACTCAATAACAAAAAGGCAAACAAGGGCTGGGCACAGTGGCTCACATCTGTAGTCCCAGCACTTTGGGAGGCCGAGGCGGGTGGATCACAAGGTCAAGAGATCGAGACCATCCTGGTCAACATGGTGAAACTCCGTCGCTACTAAAAATACAAAAAATTAGCTGGGCATGGTGGCGCGTGCCTGTAATCCCAGCTACTTGGGAGGCTGAGGCAGAAGAATTGCCTGAACCCAGGAGGCAGAGGTTGCAGTGAGCCGAGATCGTGCCATTGCACTCCAGCCTGGGTAACAAGAGCGAAACTCTGTCTCAAAAAAAAAAAAAAAAAGGCAAATAATGCCCCCCAAATGGTAAAAGGACTTGAATGAACATTTCTCCAAAATAGATGTGTAAATGGCCAAAAGGCACAAGGAAAGATGGCCAGTCTCATCATTTTTTTAGGGAAACAGAAATTAAAAACCACAGCCAGGTGTGGTGGCTCACACCTGTAACCTCAGCATTCTGGAAGGCCGAGGTGGGAGGATCAACTGAGGTCAGGAGTTTGAGACCTGCCTGGCCAACATGGTGAAACCTGTCTCTACTAAAAATACAAAAATTAGCCTGGTGTAGTGGTGCATGCCTGTAATCCTAGCTACTTGGGAGGCTGAGACAGGAGAATCTCTTGAACTAGGAAGGCGGAGGTTGCAGTGAGCTGAGACTGCGCCACTGCTTTCCAGTCTGGACAAAAGAGTCAGACTCCATCTCAAAAAAAAAAAAAAAAAAAGGGAAATAAAAACCACAATGAGATGACACCCACAAGAATGGGTACAGTAATTTTTTTTTAATGGAAGAGAGAAATGTTGGTAAGGATGCAGAGAAACTGTAATACGTTGCTGGTCTCATACATGGCTGGTACAAAGTAAAATGGTCCAGTAGGTGTGGAGGCTCCTCAACACATCAAACATAGATACCACAGAATATTCCACTCCTCGGTATATACCCAAGAGAAAACCGGTGTGCAAGCAGCATCTTGTACATGAATGTTCACTGCACACTACCCACAAGAGCCAAAAGGTGAGAACAGGCCAAATTTCCATCAGCTGATGAACTGATACATAAAACGTGGTATATTCACATAATGAAATATTCAACCGCAAAAAGAATGAAGTTTAGATACCTGCTACAACATGGTTATACTTTGAGAACATCGGCCAGGCATGGTGGCTCACACCTGTAATCCCAGCACTTTGGGAGGCCAAGGTGAGTGGCCAGGAGTTGAAGCCCATCGGCCTGGCCAACATGGTGAAAAATACAAAAATTTGCCTGGTGGCACATGCCTGTAGTCCCAGCTATTCAGTAGGCTGAGGCAGGAGAACAGACTGAAACTGGGAGGTGGAGGCTGCAGTGAGCCGAGATCCCACCACTGCACTCCAGCCTGGGGCAACAGAGTAAAACCTCGTCTCAAAAAAGAAAAGAAAAGAAAACATTATGCTAAGTAAAAAGTGACACACAAAAGACCACATTTTGTATGATCCAATTTATATAAAATGTCAAGAATAGAGCCAGGAATGGTGGCTCACAGCTGTAATACCAGCACTTTGGAAAGCTAAGGCAGGAGGACTGCCTGAGCCCAGAAGTTCAAGACCAGCCTGGGCAACATAGCAAGACCCTGTCTCTACAAAAAAATACACAAATTAGCCGGGCGTGGTACACACCTGTGGTCCCAGCTACTCAGGGTCACGCCACTGCACTATAGCCTGGGTGATGGAGGGAGACACTATCTAAAAATCACCCCCACAAAAAGAGGAGACACACCCATAGAGACAGAAGGATTAGTGGCTGCCAAGGTTTTCAGGAGGGAGGAATGGGCTTATTTCTGGCGTGACAACTACGCTCTGGAATTAGTGGTGGTGGTTGTACTACACTGTGAACATATGAAAAGCCACTGAATTGGACACTTAAAAAAAACCAGTTTAAACGGTGACTTTTCTGTCCTGTGAATGTTACCTCAATTTAAAAAACAGAAAAAGAGTATTTCCTTAGTCATTAAATAAATGCAGGAATGGCATCAGGCTTACCCAGTGAGGAGGACAGGTTCCAGGAATCCTCCAGCATCACGTTCCTATATAGTGTCTTTTGGGCAGGGTCCAGCAACGCCCAATCTTCCTGGGTGAACTCCACAGCCACATCCTTGAAGGTCACCTACCCCTAAAGCATCGCAAACATCACAGTTTAGCCGAGGACCACCCTCACCAACTGCACAGGAAGAGGGCCCAGGAGAACAGAGCCAGGGCTGGGGAAACCTGAGCAGGAGATGGGCGGGCTTCTGAGCTCCTCTCCCTGGCTTCCAGGCTCAGCCCTCAATGCTTGACTCCTTAGGCCACTCCTCAGGTTTAATGCACAGTACCCCAGAGCAACTGTCTTCTCTCTCTCAGACTGGGGGCTCCTGTGATCTTATTCTCTCAATCTCCAGGGGAGCACGGGCCCGGGACATGGCAGAAAGCAGAGGAACACTTGGCGAGTGAATGAACGATTCCGTATGGCTTTTATAAACTGCTTGGGCTTAGAACACCATCACACCTTTACGTGGCTTTCCCTTAAAACTCTCAGGAGCACATGATGTACTTAGGGACCTGGAGAAAGTTCTGAACCTGCAGTAACCGTCCACACACACCGATTTTCTGGGCAGCCCTCACCCTCCATCAGATGCCTAGAAATCCTGGGATGCCTCAGGAGCCAGTCTGGCTGCAAGGCTTCAGGCTGCTGGAAGGTATGAAGTCCAAACTTCTGGCTAAAGGAATAATGATTTGGGAAAAGGAGCATCCAACTCACCTGCAGCCAGCTTCTCAGGAGCTCATTAACCAGGCCTCCGCCTTCAGTGTGTCCTTTTTGCTGAGAGGCTGGGAATGGGGAAGATGCAGCTGGAGGAGGAGAAATGAGTCCCGGGGATTCAGGCTAGTCTAACACCCACGTATCTGCCTGTGATTGACCATATCGCCCTCCTATACCCACGCAGCGCCCACCTACACCCCATGCAAACACCTACCCACGGCTCTCCTAAGACACCCAAACACAGCCCTGTCTCACCAACTAAAGGTAACAGGGCTCAAGGTCTGACTGCACTTGGGGAAGAGATTATTACCATTTCGCAGATGAGGAAACAGGTTCCAAGGACATCACTATGTTTTTATCAGGTTCACAGAAAGAAAGAAAGGGAGAATTCAAAAGCTCCAGCACATTCACTACACAATAACATCCACAGACACCCAAACACCTAAGTCCCAAATCCCAAGAGCCGCCCGATCAAACACGGAGGACCTCTGGGCCCCTGGGGCTCCACTCCTGCCTCACCTGCTCTGCCCAGCCCCCTCCCGTCTCAGGCTGAGGGTCAGAGCCTTTCGATCCTGGACTATGAGAAATGCTAAGACCCCGTGACTCACCACCGGCGGCGTGTAGGACAAGGGCCGCCATCCTGTGACTCTGACAGCCAAAGGGCAGCCGGGAGGCAGGATGAGCCTCCCTTCTTCCCAAAGCACTCTCACGACGGTGTTCTGGAAGAAATAAAACACTTCAAGTCCCCACAGCCTCCTCCCTCTCGAGATGCTGGGGACAGGCCCTCCTCAGCCCACCCGTCCTGTCCTTCTTCAAATGCAAGTTCTGGCTTCCACATTGAGCCTTTACTTTGCTGAGCAGATGAATTTAGGGCCACCTGATGGCAAAACTTGCCTTCCTCGGTCCTCGACACAATGACCAATCTGTCCCTGGCTCCGTACCCCTTGAGAACCTAGGCTTTGTGGAGTCTCATAGCACATTCTGCTTGTCCAAGTGCGGTCAGTAATGTGTTCCCTGCCACGCCCTCCTTCCCTGGGGACTCCAGCGCCTGCCTCCATCACTCCTCCCATCTCCAATCCCAAGTCCCGCATGATGTCAGAGACCCCCCAGAGTCTCAGGGGTTCCTCAGCTCTACAGCTCTCTGCCTTCACACCCCTTGGCCACACATTTCCACAGGTACGCTCAGCCTCCATCATCACAGCACTCAAGAACAATGCTCACAAACTCCCCTCTCTGAACCCAACCTCCCTCCTCAACTTCCACTGAGTTCACTGATTTTTCTCTCATGGTGTGTCCTGTGACCACAAGCAGGCCTCCTCTCCTGCCCATCCACTGCCTCAGTCACCCCCTCTCCTGCCCATCCACTGCCTCAGTCACCCCCTCTCCTGCCCATCCACTGCCTCAGTCACCCCCTCTCCTGCCCATCCCCTGACTCCGTCACCCCCTCTCCAGACCATACCCTGCCTTCATCACCCCCTCTCCTGCCTGTGTCCCGCCTCTGTCACTGTGGGTACCCCCCCCATATAGGCACCGAGGAATGAGATCTAAGCAGAACCCTGGCACACTTAGGGCTTGAGGAATATCTCACTTTATAGTGTTACTACTCAGCTACTTCCTTTTATATAATCCTTTACATCATCATATATTAGTTTATAGAAATAGGGCTTGACGAATCCCTTTATACAATCCTCTATATATAATCATATAATAGTTGGACAGTATGAGTGCCTAAGGATATTTCCCTACATATATACCTATAATTATATCTTAGTTCATAATCAGAGGAATGCCTAGAGTGGACACAGTACAGAGCATGAATTAAGGAATAAGCAGCTTATAATCAGAGGAATGCCTAGAGCAGAGACAGTGCAGAGCATGATTTAAGGGACAAACCGTTATACCAGGACAAGAACCCATGGCCCAGGCGGCAGCATTCAGTATCATAAAGATACCCGCTGTATGGCAGGCTTGGGGCGAGAGCCACTCCTCCTGATAAAGGAGCTAGGACCTTGCTCCAGTTCTTGTGGAAGGCTGCCCTCAGACCGGCAATCCACCTTGTGACTGTGAACTTTATCAGCTCTTGCTACTGTGCTGCTTGAAAAGCATCTTCCCATAGAACCCATTGGAAGCTGCCAGAAGGTAGCGGTAACCTTGACAGCTCTGTCACTGCAATGTGACTTAAAGCATCCTCCTATAAATCTTAGTAGTAGTTTCCCATAGACAGAAGTATTGCACACTGCACCCTCTTCACTGCGCACGGCCTACCTTCAAGCCTCGGTGACCTAATAGGGGTGGACCCCTTACTGCACACGGCCCTTGCCTTCATGGGAACGGGCCCCTTGCTGTGCACTGTCCACCTCCTGGCCTAGGTGACCTAATGGGGTGGACCCCATGTTTCATTGCTCACGACCCTATCACTATCCTTAAAGATGATTTCACTCACTGCCCTGCCCCCTAACCTATACACAATAAATACTCATGCTTCTGGACATTCGGGGCCTCGCCTGACTCCACTTATAGGTGGCGTGGCCCCCTGAGCCCAGCTATGTTTTCCTTGTACTTCTCTGTCCTGTCTCTTTATTTCTCGGATCCTGCGCCTCAGCACAGCATAAGGCTCACCCCACAACCCTCTGGGGCCCAACATGCCCTACATGTCACACCCTCTCCTGCCTGTGCCCCGCCTCCATCACCCCCTCTCCTGCCTGTACCCTGCCTCCGTCACCCCCTCCCCTGCCTGTACCCTGCCTCCGTCACCCCCTCCCCTGCCTGTGCCCTGCCTCGGCCACCCCACCTCCTACCCATGCCCTGCCTCAGTCACCCCTGTCCTGATTTCCTGCTCACAGAGCTTGGATGTGGCTGCCCCTCATTTCAGTTGATTTCCTCCTCCTCCCCAACCTCCACTGTCATGCCAGCCCAGCAGAACTCCAGCCATTTTCTATCAGAGACTGTCTAGATTCCTAAAACTTTTAAGAATCGATCTGAAAGATACACAAATAGTAAAAGACATGTAAGATTACTCACTGTGACATTACTTACAATGCAGCCATTAAAAAAAAAAAAGAGATCTCATGAGATCTGATTTAAAAAAAAAGAAACTAAAAGAGAGGCCTGGGAGTAGTGGCTCACGCCTGTAATCCTACTACTTTGGGAAGCTGAGGCAGGTGGCCCACTTGAGGTCAGGAGTTCAAAAACCAACCTGACCAACACGGTGAAACTCTGTGTCCACTAAAAATACAAAAAATTAGCTGAGCGTGGTGGCGCATGCCTGTAATCCCAGCTACTCGGGAGGCTGAGGCAGAATTGCTTGAACCTGGGAGGCAGAGGTTGCAGTGAGCTGAGATAGCATTATCCAGCCTGGGCAACAAGAGTGAAATTCCATCTCAAACAAATAGAGAAGATCTCTAGGTATCAATAGAGGTTATTATTCCCAGTAAATTAAAGGGGAAAAAAATAAGACACCCAACAGTATATATGGAATGTTTTCTTTTTTATGAGAAAAGGGCTGTGTGTGTGTGTGTGTGTGTGTGTGTGTGTATACACACAAAGATGAAAGCAGCCAAGGGTGGGGTGGGGGTGGGGGTTTGGCATCTGGATTTAGGGATTTGTGAGAGTGAATGTGGGCCAGGTAGACAAAACAGAGTTGGAGGGGTGGGTGGTGGTGGCTGCTCATGGAAGGCAGGGCCACTCAGTCTCTCTCCAAATTTGTACTGAGATGCAGAATTCAGGCTCTGGCTTCCTTTTAGATCTCTTGCCCAGGGAATTTATGCTGGATGATCCCCATACGCCCTATCTCCAGGGAGGAAAGGACTGGGAGAGAATGGAATAGACAGCCATTCCCCACAGGCCAGGTGTTCAGTGGTACCTGGAACCAAGCAGAGATCCGTGGCTCTTTCCCCATTCCTCCCCTGCAGCCTCTCAGCCTCCAGCCTCCAATGAACACAGCTGCCAAGTGTCTCTGCTATCTGGTCCCTGTGGCTGGCAGAACAACGGCACCCCCAAAATTCACATATACATGTGAAAAGCTGATATATTTGTACTCATCTGTAAATGTCTAAAATTTTTAGTATTATGACATTCAAGAAAATCTGCATTATGGCCAGGCTTGGTGGCTCATGCCTGTAATCCCAACACTTTGGGAGGCCGAGGTAGGCGGATCACCTGAGGTCAGGAGTTCGAGACCAGCCTGGCCAGCATGACAAAACCCCGTCTCTACTAAAAATACAAAAGTTAACTGGGTGTGGTGGTGCGCACCTGTAATCCCAGCTACTTGGGAGGCTGAGGCAGGAGACTTGCTTGAACCTGAGAGGCGGAGGTTGAAATGAGCTGAGATAGCACCACTGCACTGGACAATAATGACATCTGAAGTAAAAAAAAAAAAAAGATATGCTCACTCTTAGTAATTCCTTGTTTGCAACCTGAGCACAGGAAAAACTCATTTGCAGTTTTTCTACACAGTGGAGTCTTGTAAGCTGCAGGTTCTACACGGTACTCACCTGATCTTACAGAAACATCAGTGAGGACAGGTGAATCCTGAGGCTGGTTTCAACACAAATCTGAGCTTGAATGATACTTTTCTTGTCTGAAAAAGCGGGGGAGGGGGGCACAAAAATCGCTTACGAGGCCTTTTGTAGGGAGTATGTACATATAGTAAAATGTATTTATTGAGGGTAATACAGCTGTTGCATAGAAAGGCCACCCCATTCACTTAAAAAACTGATTTAAAGAATAATAAGAACCCAGGCTATCAGCTGTGCCTGAATTCACCTGATTCCTCTCCAGCCATCTGCTCCCTAAAATGAAACAAGGAGCTTAAAGCTGTTTCCATTTGACTTGCTTAACTCACGTGGCTGGAGATTTTATGGTGACTCCAGATGCTTTAAATTCGTCACTATAGTCTTATAAGCGACTCAGCTGAATTGTAAATAATTTCTACAATGTATTCAGGACTGCAGAGACCCGAATGCCCTCCAGCAGGGTTTCCCAGCCTGGGCACTACCGACGTTTGGGGCTGGAGAGTCTTTGCAGGCGGCAGCTGCCTTTACGCGCTGCAGGGTGCTGCGCTGCTAGCACTCCTGGCCTCCCCCCTCTAGATCACAGCAGCACAGTGCCTCCTACCCTGCATTCTGTGACCTCCAGAAATGTCTCCAGCTAGAGCCAAAAGTCCCATGGAACGCAGAATCGCCCTGGGTGCGGGCGACAGGGGCGTGGGGGCCACGACCCCGGAAGAAACAGCAGCTTTGGACTGACCTGGGCACACAGCCCGAGGTCTCAGGGGCGGAAACCCGGCTCCCGGGAGGGACGCGGGGGCCGCGGCTGGGCCCTCTCTCTGGACCCGGACCCAAACCCTCACCTGCCGATCACCCGAGCCCAGCACCTCCAGGCGGGCCAAAAACACCGACTCGCGGAGATCAAGACTCCCACGCGCGGCGACTGAGATTCTTCTCACAACACACTCCCGTGCTTCCGCTTCCGGTCTCGGGCTGGCAGAGTTGCACCTCCTCTTCCGGCCCCAGGTGGTCCCGCCCTAAAATGCTGCACCTCTTGGGTTTAAGTGGTTCTCCTGCCTCAGCCCGCCGAGTAGCTAGGATTACAGGCCCCCACCAAAACGCCCGGCTAAATTTTGTGTTTTTAGTAGAAATGGGGTTTCACCATGTTTGTCAGGCTCGTCTCAAATTTCTGACCTCAGGTGATCCACCCACCTCGGCCTCCCAAAGTGCTAGTATTACAGGCGTGAGCCACTGCGCCCTGCCTAATTTTGTATTTTTAGTAGAGATGGGGTTTCTCCATGTTGGTCAGGCTGGTCTCGAACTGTCGACCTCAGGTGATCTGGCCGCCTCAGCCTCCCAAAGTTCTAGGATTACAGGCGTAACAACTGATCTCTGGATGCCCCTGAGAGTGTCGTATTCTGGAATGGTGCAGTTCACTGCATTGTGGAAATCCTGGCTTCCTGTAATTCTGATAGTTCCTATGAGGCACACAGCTGTGAACTGTCAGCAGGCGATATTCTCAGCAGCTGGGGGGTGGAAGCACTGGCCACGGACAGGACTCCGGGTTGAGGCTCACAGCATCCACTGCTCCTTCTCTTTTCTCCCCATCCTGGCTATTGTTAATAATCTTGACTGGGCAAGGTGGCTCACATGTGTAATCTCAGCACTTTGGGAGTGTATTATATATAATTTAATTATTTAATTTTTCACTTAAGTACTTCACTTAAGCACTTTGGGAGTGTACATTATATATAAAAATATATGGTATATATATTTTTCTTTATAATATATATTATAAATATATAATTGTATAATATCAGATGTGTTCTATGTATGATTTATATATAAATTACACATATATTTAGAGACAGAGTCTTGCTGTGTCTCCCAGCCTGGTGAGCAGTAGCTTCCCGATAGGCACTTCCTACCACCCTAACTCTGCTAGAGTGTGCTAACCTACCCTGTGTTAGCCTGACAGACTCCATCTTCACCTCTGCCTCACCCCTCCCACCATTTCTCCCTTCAGTGCATACCCGGGTCACACAGTGCTGGGTCATGTTGTACTTAGAACCACAGAAACATGTAACCATTGTAACCATATCTTGTTTGACAAGCCCACTTGCTATTGTGAATAACGCCTTGATTAATTGTATGGAAAGTATTGAATGTCCCTCCTTGGTAACCAGCAATCGTGGGAACCGCTTGTGTGTACCCTCCTTAGTTAATCCACGATAATGGGAGCCTCCTGCCTCCTAGTTACCAGCCTCCTCCTGTAACTTGCTTATTCTGCTTCTGTAAAATTCTGCTTTGCTCCCCTTACCCTGAGCAGCATATAAAAGGAAATCATACCCCTTCATTGGGGCCGAGAGATTTTGAGTGTGAGCTGTCTCTCCATTGCCAGCAATAAAGGACTCGTGATTCCAACTCAGAGTGTGGCCCTTTCCATCCCTTGGTTATAACAAGAGTGAACACAACCAGTAGCTTCTACCTAACCAGAACATGCACAAAATAATTGCTGTGAAGTATTTCATTCCATGTTTTGGTCAATGATAGGGAAAGAGAAAGAGGTAAGGAAACTCAAAGTGAAACAGCTGGAAGGGACACAGTATGTGTCTATATTTATGTAGTACATGAGATATTTTGATACAGGTACAAAATGTCTGATAAGCACATCAGAGTAAATGGGGTAAAAATGTTTAATTAAAGAATAATCTCTTGGGATACCTATCAATTCCTCCTTGAGAACGTATATTACAAGGAGAAAATGTAACGACAAAACACTGAATAATCCTTCAGGCTAGGTTAATTGAATTTAATTACCCATTGGTTGAAAACTTAGATACTGGGTTCAATGTTCAATATTTGGGTAACCGTAAACTACAAACCCAACCCCCACCTTTAACCAATATATCCACATAACATATTCATGTACCCATGGATTGAAAATTTCAAAAAAAAAAAGAAAAATTAAAATGTAATCAATTTTTATTAAATTATGTATTGTATTTGTTTCATTTAAAATTACATAATTTCATTTTTTAAGGATTTCATCTGAAATTAAATTGGAGGTGTTTTTGTTTGTTCATTTGTTTTTGTTTTTGCTTTTTTTTTTTTGAAAGAGTCTTGCTCTGTCTCTAGGTTGGAGTGCAATGGTGCAATCTCAGCTCACTGCAACCTCCACCTCCCAGGTTTAAGTGAGTCTCCTGCCCAGCCCCTTGAGTAACTGAGACTACAGGGCCATGCCACCACTCCTGGCTAATTTTTGTATTTTTAGTAGAGATGGGGTTTTGCCATATTGGCCAGGCTGGTCCCAAACGCCTGCCACACATGATCTGCCCACCTCAGCCTCCCAAAGTGCTGGGACTACAGGCATAAGCCACAGCACCCAGCCAAAAATTAAATTAGAATATAAAAACTAATTAAAATCGTGGTAAACAGAAATTGAGGTGTACAATGATGTGTGAAGGTCTCCCTCTCTGTCCCAGGAAACCCGAGTTCTCACCACAGAACCTTCCACTCCTTATACCTGTTGCTTTTAAATACTTTTAATAAAGAACAGGTGGGGAAGGAGAAAGTGGGACAATTCATACTAGCAAAGAGGATGGGAATTAAAAGATAGGGACCTAAAACCCAGGACTGTCTCCACTGACAACCCCCCCACGCCCGGGGCCAATTCCCACAGCTTCTGACCACCCCCTCCTCCTTCACTTTATCTACTTGTCAGCATTTCTGTCTGCCTCCCGGGCCAGCCTGTCTGTCTGCAAGGCCTTGGCCAGTCTCTCCCTGGCTTTCTTCACCTTCCGGGCCTGTCTCTGGATATCTGCATGAGTCACCAATTGGCCAGAGAAGGGCGGTGGGAGCTGACAACCCACTCCTGGGGGAGCCCCTGCCCCAGCTGGAAGCTGCCCAGGGGTGGGCTCAGGCTGGCTATGTGTGAGCTCAGCACCGGCTCTGTCCAGAGATTCCCCAGCCATGCCTGGAGCAAGAACACTTAAGATGCTGTCCAAATCCAGTGGACTTGAAGAACCTTCTCCTTGGCTGCTGCAGGAGGGCAGGGCCTGCATTCTCTGGTAGGCACAGAGCTGCCGTGGCTTCTCCAGGTGCTCCTCGCCTTTTTTGTGTCTGACCTGGTTGTCAGGATGAGACCTGATCCTTGTCACTGGCTTCTGGAAGATACAGCTAGTGAGTCTCTCGGGGAGGGCAGCCCTGGCAGCTCGTCTCCGACGGGCCTTGGCCACGTGGATATCTCGTTTCTTCTGTAAGGCCCAGGGTATCATGCTTCTTTTGAGCTTCCCCTTTCAAAAGAAAAGAATGTGAAATTTCATCCAAATGGAAGCTGGAGAAGATCAGCTCTTGGGGCTTCTCTCAGCTTAGTGCAATCTCCCCACCAGCCTCTCAATGTGTCTCAAATGGCACCATCCATCCTCAGCACCTGCAAGGTTTCTTAAACCCAGATCTCCGGACCTGAACCCAGGGAAGTCTAGGGTGGACCCAAGAGTCTGCATTTCTCCGTGTGATGCTGATGCTGCTGGCAGAGGTGCCAGGCATCGACACTGAGTCCTGGGACCTCACTGGGCTGATGTGAGCCAAGGATTGAAAGCTCAAGATCATGACCCAGGGCCAATTCCAGACCATATCCCCGCTCACCCTCCTCAGAGGACACCCCTCTCTTCTATTCCCTGCCACTGTCAGCTACACACATGCTGGTGCCTCCTGACCCATCCCCAACAGGACACCGGGATCCCAGAGTTCCCTGTTACCCAAGACCTCAGATTTCTCTGTCTCTCTTTCTGCTGTGCTTCAGGACACATCATTTTCATAGCTCCTTGACTCCCTGGTCTCCAAAGAAATAAATCGTACATGTACCAACCCTTAAATACTTACTGCTACACCCAGGTCCCATCTTCACCTGAACTCCTCCTGCTCATGAAGAAAAACCTCAGAACACCATGTTTACTTTCTGTTTCTAATAAGCTCAATTAACTAGAATTATACAATGAGAGCGTGTTTTGATGACATGCTTCAAAAGATGATGAAGTGCTCCTTAAGATTTGAAGTCCTTTCTTGCTCTATCTCAAATTGGAAGACTCTGGTCTCATGAAGCTGTTTCAACCGCAAACCTCATCAGTGCACTTTTCATTCTAAAGCCTTCATTTCTGTCCTTCTCATTTCATTTCTGTTGTCCTGGCATAAAGATTGATACCCTTTACACTACCCAAAAGGTTCCAGTTTGGAGGGAAAATTATTTAGTCCCTTTAGGTACAGGGCAACTATGATGTGCCAAGCTGTGCAGTAGAACCCCTGATACAGAAATAAACTTCATCAAGTCACTGTTCTGTTGATTTTCATCTTGGTTGGAAGGAAGACATAATAAGCACACTAAAAACAAATTTCTGATTGTTGGAAACAGATGCTTGGTGCCCAGAAAGGGTACCCTTTCTGCAGAAAGTAAAGATTGCCTTGCTGAGAGATCCACTGTCTCAGTGCTGACTTTGCTTTGTAGCACTGAGCATCTGTTTCCAATGGGATAGAATATCAGATATATTTAAGTTCCATAATGAACAAGAAGGGAGAGACAGAGAAGGATGGAGGAAGGAGAAAGGGAGAAACAGAAAAGAAAGAAATTCACTACAGTGAATCGTGACAGTGAGTTTAGGGAAGGACTAACTAATCATGAAATTTTACCAGAGAACTATTTTTTTTAAAGGGACCAAGCAATTTCTGGTTCAAGAACTTTCCAGAGAGGGAGACAATTTGAAGAATGCAAGGCTAAATAATACTTCTTCCCCTTCCTAGTGATGTTGGATTTTTTTTTTAAAAAAAATCAGAGCCATTATCCC